TTGAGTATAATTCTGTCATTCGTCAGGAGTATGCCCACACTGTATGGTGATAAAGTTCATACTCAGGTCTTATGCTCATTGTACTGTGTCGTAGGTCATTGTCAAACACCGGACCTCACTGACAAAGCATATACTCTTGCGTGCTGGCGACGTTCGAAGTCTCTCACCTGGCCAGGTCATTTTCATACTAGCCATGCATGATATTGAAAGTATGCGATCTGCAGCAGGGTTACCTTCGTCTCTCGTTGCATACTTCACAAACGATAGTATGAATAATCACCCTGCACTGTCTGCGTGTATGGAATCAGTAGCAGAAAAAGTGTGTATAATGCAACACTCGGTGGGTTTAATTAAAACATGTTAACCTTTTTGCTAGGTCATTGGTGATTGCATTAACGAGTTGAACGCGCAGGCTTCCCAGCAAATGCTACCCGTTCGCCTATCGTCTGAACTACAAGCTCTTTTGGTCTACACCACTCATCGCGTTCAGAACGCGAGAGATATCGCAGCCAAATATCTAAATCGCTTGATCACGTCCTTCCCTTCTCTGATGTGTGATCCACCTTTCGTCTTTGCGATTCTGGAGGTCCTCACACTACTTCGCCAATCGTGTGAGAATGAATTCTTGGACGAGGTGCGCCTATTCATCCCAACCAAATCGGTCGATCTAACTTGTCCCTTGAGTACAATCCTGTTTACGAGTTTCATTCAGAAAGAACTGGAATCACTCTACAAATGACTGATGATTATCAACGACGAAACGACATCCTTGGACTGTCGTACCGTAGCGCGAATACCTGGTTTGAACTAGCGATGGCGCGCGCTCCTATCGAACTTCAGTCCACATTACAGGTTCCTACTTTTCATGCGCTTTACCATCCAACCTGATGTCTCTACCAGAAATATCTTGCTGTCACTCAATCAAGCTCAGGGGGTCATTCCTCCGAGCTTGGTGCATCGGTTGCCGAACATTTTGGTAAGGCAATTGGTCCTGTTGAACGCCAACTTGGTGAGCAGCTTGTTGCTTTCCCAGTGTACTTTGCTGATCCGAATGACAGCTTGCCTCGCTAGTCTCTCTCAATGGAAAACGGATGGAGCAAAAAGTTTGGCAAACGAGATTGCTAGCAAAAGTTACTTCTCTGGAGAGGTTGCTGGAATGTGTTTGGCATGGCACCAAGGCTAGTTATTCACAAGGGTGTGATAATTATACTTACATTCTTCTTCATAGCCCCCGACAAACTGAACAAGCTACCTCCACACTCCGTCCCTTGGACTGATGTTCAAGATCTAAAAAGAAAGATGTCTCGTACAACCGAGGACATTTTAAACAAGAGCAGTACGCTCACAGTGCAAGACTTAAAGAGGCTCCTTTTCAGGTGTGCAGCAACATTGCTTTCCTTGGAACAGGTCCTTCTTCCCTAGTTTTCCGTGTGACGCTCTCACGCCTTCATTACATTCAGTGTGATCATGACCTACTTCATTACCTTGTTGCCTTGCCGTTCGAAGTTTCGACGCCACCCGCTATAACTGCTGGTATTCAAGTCTGGACATGGGTCATCTCCAACAAACCTGATGTTGAAGTTGCTCTGATGGCGGAAGTCCTTTCTGCATGGTCAGACAACATAAAACATGAGAAAGGAATGTTCTCCTCGGCGCTCAAGTGGGTCGTGTACATAAAGCCCAGAAGTCTGACCTTCATAGTTTTTACAGCTACCAAGATCCTTTTTATGAGCCTATTAGTTATAGTCCTACCGACAAGGAGGTCATCGATCGAGGGAGTGCAAATGCTCGTCGAATCCTGACTCCTCATGTTCTCGTTCTTCAAATGCTCTTCAGTCGGTTGCAAGCGGCAAGATACCGTCGGCCTGGGATGATGTTTTTGATCCAACACCTGGTGCTACGTTCCGCACGAGCATACCGTTTGATGAGGTATCATTCTTTCTCTTATGCCCTGCTTTCGACTTATTAGACTCAAGCACTCATGCCCTGGCTCGCGAAGAACGTTTCTCTCTTCTCCTCTTTGGATTTGAGACTCTCAAGAGCTCTCACTTGGATTCTTACTCGGAGAGTTTGCTGCGTGAAAGTCTGTACTCAGTTGCTTTTGCTTGGTTTTCTGTTCGCCCTCAGTATGTTTTTTTTATATCTTTTGTGGATCTTAAGTTTCTAATGCAGTCGCAGATGGTCATACGGTGCAAATCGGGCTCAAGTAGATGCGGACGTGAAAGTTCTCATAGAATTTCTGTCCTGCCTACAGACGGACTCCATTCGGGGAACGTCTGAGGTCTCCAGTCTCTCTCCAGGTCAAGTACCGTCTCGGGGCTTATGTGGGTTTTTCCTTCTCATTTCTCCGTTCCGATCATGGGATTATGATCACGGTTCTAGACTATGCGAATCGACTTCGAAGTATCAATCATCCTTTGCGCCTTCTCACAGAGAACGAAATGATGAGACTGTCAGTTTGGAACAATCCAACCAACGATCCTAAACGAGGTAACGATCACATTGGAACCATTGGGGCTTCAATGCTTGAGGTCAAAGATTTCATCTGTTTTCCCGTGAATCAATCACTGAAGCGTGGTTCGCAGTCTACTTGGCATACGGTCCTTCGTACTGTGTGGGAGATATCGCCGATGATTGCCGTGTATCTTGTAGAACGTTTTAAAAATCCTACTGTACGAAATGAAGTGACGATGATGGTCCGCGCAAATCCTTTGGAGGTCATTGACGTCCCAGAAGCATTACCTCTCTTTATTGGTGAAAAGGTGGATGGGTATTTTCGAAGGGATTTCATGGTCAGTCAGGCTCCCTTTTCTTCACCTGCAAGAATGCATAGCTCATTATGCCCTCCGAAGCACCTTCTCTTATGGTGTCCTGTTCCACCTGTCATTGCGATTGGTTTCTTTGAACCCCGATATAACAACGAACCCTTAATTCTTCAATATGCTCATCGAGTGCTTGAACAACATCCTGTTGACCTTACGTTCTTTTTTGTTCCCCAAGTCGTCCAAGCCTTACGATATGATAAATTTTGTGCGTGCTTTCTACACTTTTCTTTCATTTGTCTGATTGACTTGCCAAGCTTATGTGGCCCAGTTCATTTTCGAAACGGCAAAAATCTCTCAGCTATTCTGTCATCAGATCATTTGGAACATGAAGGCGAATTGTTACAAAGATGATGCGGCCGAAATTGTACGTTCTTCTGATCTAGATGACTTGCTCCTTAATCTGTGCTGCAATAGGAGGATCCAATGAAGCCAACTCTGGACCTCATGACAGGGAGGGTTGTTGAAGCTCTTTCGGGCAATGCTAGAGAATTCTACAATCTTGAGTTTAATTTCTTTGATGAGGTCACCTCAATATCCGGGAAACTTAAGCCATTCATTAAAAGAACCAAGCCGGAAAAGAAAGTAAGTATCTTCAAGAGACTCCCCACTTCCGCCCTAAAGGAATAAATTCTTATACTTTGTCAGGCGAAAATTGACGAGGAGATGGCGAAAATCAACGTTGATGTCGGCGTGTATCTGCCAAGTAACCCTGACGGAATAGTGATTGACATCGACAAGAAATCTGGAAGGCCGTTGCAAAGTCATGCTAAGGTGACTTTCGGTTTTCGTTGTAATTTCTATCTTTGACTTTTGGTCGTTTGTTAGGCTCCCTTTATGGCGACTTTCAAGGTTCAGAAAGAGCGCATTGTCGTCAATACAGATCCGGAACTAATTCTGGATGGCAATGGGGCGGGCACTGAAACGAAGGTTAAGTATGATGTCTTGCAACAAGCGATTTTCAAAGTGGGCGACGACTGCAGACAAGATGTGTTAGCTTTGCAGATTATCGCGATGTTCAAGAACATTTTCACCAGTGTGGGCCTGACACTATATCTCTTTCCTTATCGAGTGACGGCAACGGGTCCGGGGGTATCTATACTTTCTCTACTTCCCTCACCTTGTCTCTCACATTTCTATAGTGTGGTGTCATTGACGTTGTGCCGAATGCGACTTCTCGAGATGAAATGGGACGTGCCAAAGTGAACGATTTGCTTGATTTTTTTGTAGCCAAATACGGAGGAGAGGATACTGTTGCCTTCCAAAGGGCTCGACTGAATTTTATCCAGTCTATGGCAGCCTATTCTGTTGCATGCTACATTTTACAGATCAAGGACAGGCACAATGGTAATATCATGATTGATGGTGAAGGTCACATCGTACACATCGGTCTGTAGACCAACTTTCTACCAAGCAAATTGCCTGATGACTTAAATCACGATAGATTTTGGGTTCTTGTTCGACATAGATGAGTATTTTCTGCACTTCTTGTGTTCCCTGTCTGACCAAACTTTCCATCTTTACGTCCCGGAGTGCGTCTTAATTCTTGGTTTCCAACAATCGCTGATTCAGTCTGTAGGGGGTGAAGTTTGAACCAAATTCATTCAAGCTTAATCACGAGATGGTTGTTTTAATGGGGGGACGATATTCACAAGGCTATCAACTCTTCCAAAATCTCACCGTCAAGGCGTTCCTCGCAATACGGCCTCATGCTGAACAACTCATAAGTACAGTACAGCTAATGCTGGACACTGGGCTACCGTCCTTCAAAGGAGAGCCGACCATCAAGAGGCTTCGTGACCGATTTGTGCTTGGGCTCAGCGAGAGACAGGCTGCAGAGTTCATGATGAGCATCATCAAGAATGCACACGAAAATGTCCGAAGTACGGCATATGACGAGTTCCAACGGGCGAGTTGTTCAACATACTATTATTCCCTATCTGGACTTATGTTTCATTCACATTAGCTCCAAAATGGTTTGCTTTTGTTATCATTGTCTAGAGCGTTATTTACCTCCTTCCAGGTATTCCTTACAAGTAGAGATGTTGTCTAGATGATATTACTGATAATTTATGTTTTCTCCGTCGTATTTCCACTTTTGTGCCAATGGCTGGGGAAATGATAGAACCATTGGAAGACTGGTGTTTCTCATGATCATAATTGATGAATGCAATGTAAGGCATTATAGCCAAGTGGTTACGGCGACAGATTCGAATGAGTTGTTATCTGTTCCTCTTTGAGGGCGTAGGTTCAAATCCTACTGATGTCGTTTTTTGTCAGACCTGTTCTTTGGAACTTAGGTAATACGTCATTCAGCGATTTCTTGCTGCTTGAGTAGATCACGAAGTGTCACGTATACCAGAATATCTTCGTCCTAATCACGAAATTTGTTATCATGTCTGTCCCTCTTGCTGTGCTTTTTACCCAGAGCCTTTCCAGCGCCTCCAAGGTGTCAAATCTACCTACAGTTGATGATTACACTCAGGTACCGAAAACATTTGCGACCTTGAAAAACTGATTGATATCCCTTTGTAGGAGCTCATCCAGTCGACTCTAAAGGATATATTGACTCTGAGTTCACGGATCGCAGGACTCTCTTTGTTTAGCCCAAATGAAATGCTTGAGGACATATCTACTTCAGACTTGGTCTATCTTCTTGTGCCCTATGTCTTAGCAGAAGTTCGAGGACGTGTCAGGACCATGGAACATGGCGAGAGAATTCTGGTGCTTAAGCAAATGCAGGTGCCGCCTCTTTTCCTTCGAATGGTACCGCGTTGACTAAGTGTTTTAGAAAGATCTGAAGACTTTCTTGTCATGCCTTGATAACTATGAGATCGTGCCTCAGGATGAACGCCGCTTGTATGATCGTCGAGCATCTGCCATCGCGGACCCCGCTAAACGACGTGAACTCAAGATCAAGCAATACCAGAAAGAGAAAGACTTGAAGGCACGGATAGAGGTGATTTTATGCCTGCGCTCCCTTTCCTTTTGCCGATTTACCAATTCCTTGATAGTCTCTTCGTAAACGGAGAAGAAAAACGCCTCTCTTGGACGACGTAGCTACAGATTTTGACCTCATAGCCTCTCTTCTTCCTTCGGAATCAATGAGGTCGGGTGATGAAGAAGACGATATCGACTCTGAGACGGAAGATATTCTTCGCCAGGCCACACTACTCCTACTCCGACTAAAGTACGCACAAACGCAATCACAACTCGAGAACTTGGAGCAGGAGCTTGAACTTCTTGCACAAGCGCCACCCTCACCGCCTCGCCCCTCGTATCAAGAAGCCGACGATCGTAGGACTAAAATCCGTAAGAATGACAACGATATGTGGAAGCTTGACGCACCGCAGTCAAGTCTTGGAGCCGACGGGAAAGGGCCGCTTCTTGATTCATCGGGAAAAGTGAGGTCCAAGTTGCTCTTGATACAACATCGTCTTCTAAAACGAGAAATCAGGTCCTTCGACCTTTCACGATACTTCCCTCCAATGCTGCCGAACGTGCACGTCTTCAACAGCAGGTGTTTGGTCCTGGCCATCGGCTGCCTACCATGTCTATCGATGAATACCTTCAAATTGAGAAGGAGCGAGGAAATATTATCACGGGTGGCGGGTATGTTGGAATATTGGAAGCTCCGCTTCGATCATGACTTACGTCTTATATTGTATAGTCCTGCTTCAGAAACTGCATTGACATCTTCTGAACAGCTCTCTCTTGATGCAGAAATGGATGGGACATTGGATTCTGAAGAAAAGTCAGAGACCAAGCGGTTGAAGGATGAAAACTGGGCCAGGTTCACAGACGAGAATCCCAGAGGCGCTGGTAACACAATGAATCGAGGATAAAAATCTGGATGATTCAGGTTTTGAATCACTGGTGTAGACTGTACACTACCCATGCCACGCATGTATGCTTTTATGCCCTTGGAGTCGATGAAATCTATCGGAATAGTATTCTCGTACACTAATGTTCCAAAGCAAAAGAAAACGTGAACAGCAGAGAGGTATATGTATTAACATAATGCCAAAGTCAGCGGTCTGCGCAGTGGCAGAGGGGAGAAAGACGCTCAGCAAGCACATTGTGAAGCTTCTGCAGTTTCTGAGGTCTGTGGCGTTGTGACGTCGATTTCTACGAGAATTACGTTAATACGCGAGAGGTGACTTTAAGGCGAAGGGGACATACTGGTATTCGCTTCATTCTGTGTTTCCTTCTCCATTCCTGGTAGTGACATAGCAATCTTCTTGAACAAACTCTTAACGTTGTGTCCGGCCTTTGCAGAGGTCTCCATGAACATGATGTTCAATTGTGTTGCTTTAGTAGTAGCTTCCTCCAGCGTTACTTGTCTGTTTGTTTGTAGGTCGAAGCGCGTGTGTAGCGTATAAGGAGTACAGACCGTTTATCTGACAAGTCAGCCTTGTTTCCTACCAAGACTATTATTACATCGTTCCCTCGTTCTGATCTCACGTCGTCTATCCATTTGGATGTAGAGAGGAATGATTGCCGGTCTAGACGGATAGCGTTCAGTGATAGTAGATGGATTAGTGTCGCGACACACTTGTAATATCAAAGACGACTATGGCGACGGAAGAGTCACGAATGTAAGATGGAATTAATGACCGAAATCGTTCCTGGTCGGACCGTTGGGAAACGCCGTAGTCATTCGGATACACAGTATCGTACCTGTCCAGCGGTGTCCCATAGCTGTAATCTCACCGTCCGGTCCTCAAGGTACATCGTCTTGCTCAGGAAGTCGATGCCAATTGTTGCCTGGTAAGTATTGTCAAATGTATCATACATGAACCTTTAGACGACATATTAGGACAACAGTTTCGACGCGACGGCAAGTACACGAGTGTCACCTCGTAATTAGACTAGTTTTGCCGACGCTCTGGTCGCCAAGAAGCACTATTTTTGTCCTCTTTGGAGGTGAAGACGAAAAGTCGGCAGAGGCAGGAGTGGCTGGTGTATCGGACATGGTCAGAGGCAAGCAGTGTTGGCAATTGACGTCCAGTCAAGACACATCACACTGGACCGCCGGCTTATCACGTGTGGAACGAGATAACTCAATCTCATCGTTTTCGTTTGACGGAGACTCCTAACAGGGTTTTGCTTTTGCGACGAGTGATGAAGCTCACTGACAAAATAACCTCTCAAAGCCCATCAAATCCCTTCTTCACATTTGAATTCTTCCCTCCACGTACTGATCAAGTACGTCACCTAACCTTCGAACCCGAGTCTCGTTCCGTGACGCATTTTCCCGCGTTTAGGGATTTGAGAACTTGGTTTCGCGTATAACCCGACTATGCACACTTCATCCGCTTGCCATCAGTATCACATGGGGTGCTGGAGGCTCAACAAAGGAGCGAAGCCTTGAATTGGCTGGTCTAACGCAAGCGGAGTATGGCGTGGACACGGTCCTCCACTTCACATGCACGAATATGGAACGTGGATCTGTAGATGACGCGCTTCAGGTGAGTCTGAGGCTTCTTCAATGTCTGCACATCGTTATAAATCGGCATCTAGGCAGCTAAGGCACATAGGATAAGCAACATTCTTGCATTACGGGGAGGTATATGCCTGTCCGTCCTCTATGAATATGATAATCTCATGACCATGTCGTCAGATCCCCCGAGGGGCAAGGAAGAATGGATACCAATCGATCCGAACTTCCAACACGCCATAGATCTCGTCAAATTCATTAGATCTTCTCCTGAATATTCCGAACACTTTTGCATTGGTGTTGCAGGTCAGCTTGCCTTCCTTAACGAAGTAAAGATTGATTAGTTGATGCCTTGTCAAGCATACCCGGACGGTCATCCTGACAGTCACCTCGACCCGGATTCCGAGCTTGATTATCTCAAGGAAAAAATCGACGCAGGCGCAGATTTCATTGTCACGCAACTTTTCTATGACGTTGACCGATTCTTGGAATGGGTGGAAAGGGTCAGAGCAAAAGGCATGCTGCTATCAACCAGCGAATCTTTTTCTCCATCTGACACTTCCTGATAGGTATCACTGTCCCTGTCATTCCTGGGATCATGCCGATCCAGACCTATTCCTCTTTCCTTCGCTTGGTAAAACTATGTGGAATAAGAGTACCACAATATGTCATGGATGCTCTTGCACCCATCAGTGTAGGTTTCTTTCTGTTCCCCGAGCACGAGTTTCTCTCATTCTCTATCATCAAGCACGATGATCAACTCGTTAAGGACTATGGCATCAAGTTAGCCGCTGAGATGATCAATCGAATAACAGAACATAATGTGGTCCCAGGCTTTCACTTTTGTACTCTCAATCTCGAGAAGAGTGTTCAGCGTGTTTTAGAGATCCTCGGATGGACTGGTACAACCCCACCACTCCACAACAGACTCATTGCAGTATGTTCCGCCCATCATCCCTACGAAATGTGTTGATCATCTCTAGGAAACCGCTGGCAATGTTATTCACCCGCCTACTTGCATTGATGTAGCCGAATTTATTGTGACGCCGACTACTGCAACAAGCACAGCGGCCATTGGACTGGCCAGTCTTCCTGCTTCCGAGACTGAAGCGGGTCGTGGCGAACTGAATAATGCTGCATCCTGGGATGAGTTTCCTAACGGCCGGTTCGGTGACTACAAAAGTCCCGCGTTCGGGGATCAGGATCACTGGGGAGGGCCCGCTAGGGTACGTTGTCATTCGACCTTTACTGACAGTCAATAACTTGTCGCCAAACAGCGAAACGACAAAGTCAGCCAATGGCGCCACCCTAAGACCATGGACGATCTTACACAATTATTTATTGACCACTTGCATTCAAAGATTGCCACGACACCATTCTCGCAGACGGCATTGTCTTCAGAGTCGTTATTAATCCTTGAGCATTTGGAAAAGCTCACGAGGCGAGGATGGTGGACGGTCGGCTCACAGCCAGCAGTTGATAGCGCCAGTTCTGCTGATGAGGTATTTGGTTGGGGTCCAAGGTCCGGCTATGTATTCCAGAAGGGATTTGTCGAGTTCTTTTGCACTGCCGAAGATGTTGATGCTATTGAACGGAGGGTGAAAGAGAGAGGCAAAGGATGGGTACATTGGTTTGCAGGCGATGTCAAGGTGCGTTAGATCACGATTAAGACGGAAGAAACCACGACTGAGCAGTGACCAGGGAGAATGTCGAGGTAATGTGCCAGATGGTGCAAGAAATGCCGTGACATGGGGAGTATTTCCTGGACAAGAGATAGTTCAAACAACCATTATTGAGAAGGAGTCATTCTTGTCTTGGACGGTTCGTTC